TCTATATTCCAGGCAAATGGAAAGCATAAAAAAGTAGGTGCTGCAATTTTATTCACAGATATAATAGGCTTTAAACCAACAAAAGTAAGCAAGGATAAGGATGGCCATTTTATATTTGTTAAGGGTAATACTCAATATGATGAGATGTCAATTATCAATATTTATGCACACAACAAGAATGCACCTCCATTTATAAGAGATACTCTAACAGGAATGAGCAACCTGATTTCTCCCAGCTCCATCATAGTTGGAGATTTTAATACTCCTTTGGCAGTGTTGGACAGATCCTCCAATAGAAAGCTTAGCAATGAAATTTTAGATTTAGACTTAACCATTCAGCATTTGCATTTAACGGACATCTATAGAACATTTCATCCTAACAAAGCTGAATACACATTTTTCTCATCAGCCCATGGAACATATTCCAAAATGGACCACATTTTAGGTCACAAGTCTCACCTCAGCAAATTTAAAAGAATAGAAATTATTCCACACATCTTCTCGGACCATCATGGAATAAAAGTTGAACTCAGTAACAACAGGAACCTGCAGACTCATTCAAAAACATGGAAACCAAATGACCTTATGCTGAATGATAGGTGGGTCACAGACGAGATCAAGAAGGAAATTACCAAATTTTGGAACAAAATGATAATGAAGACATGAGCTACCAGAAACTCTGGGTACAGCAAAGGCAGTCCTAAGAGGAAATTTATAGCACTGCAAGCCTTCCTCTAGAGAATGGAAAGAGAGGAAGTCAACAACTTAATGGGACATCTCAAACAACTTGAAAAGGAAGAATATTCCAATCCCAAATCCAGCAGAAGAAATAACCAAAATTAGAGCAGAATTAAATGAGATTGAAAACAAAAGGATTATAGAACAGATCAATAAATCAAAAAGTTAGTTTTTTGAAAAGGTCAATAAGATAGATAAGCCTTTCACCAACCTAACCAAGAAAAAAGGCTAAAATCTCTAATTTCATCAATCAGAAATGGTAAAGACAAAATAACAACAGACTCCTCAGAAATTCAAAAAATCTTTAATGAATATTACAAGAAATTTTATTCTCAGAGATATAAAAATATGGAGGAAATTAACCAATAATTGGAAGAACGCCACCTTCCAAGACTTAGCCAGAATCAAGTAGAAATGTTGAACAGGTGTATATCAAGTTCTGAAATAGCATCAACTATACAAAATCTCCCTAAAAAGAAAAGCCCGGGACCAGACGGCTTCATGTGAGAATTCTACCAAATCTTTAAAGAGTACCTATATTAGTACCTATATTCTACAGAATTCTACCAAAGCTTTAAAGAGTACCTATATTAGTACCTATATTACTTAACCTTTTCTAAAATATAGAAAAAAGAAGGAATACTTCCCAACACATTCTATGAAGCAAACATCACCTTGATACCCAAATCAGGAAAAGATCCAACAAGAAAAGAAAATTATAGGCCAATATTACTAATGAATACTGATGCAAAAATATTCAACAAAATTCTAACAAACAGAATCCAGCAACACATCAAACAAATTATACACCATGACCAAGTAGGTTTCATCCCAGGGTCCCAAGGCAGTTTCAACATACATAAATCCATAAATATAATTCATCACATAAACAAATTAAAAAACAAAGACCATATGATTCTCTCAATTGTTGCAGAAAAAGCTTTTGATAATATCCAGCATCCCTTCATGATCAGAACACTTAAGAAAATTGGTATAGAAAGGAAATCATTTTTACTCAGATCAGGAATCAGGCAAGGTTGCCCATTGTCTCCACTGCTCTTTAACACTGTAATGGAAATTTTAGCCATCACAATTAGGGAAGAAAAGGTCATCAAGGGTATTCATATAGGATCAGAAGAGATTAAACTTTCACTCTTCCCAGATGATACGATTGTATACCTGGAAAACACCACGGTTCTACTACAAAACTGTTAGAAGTGATCAAGGAATATAGCAGCGTTTAAGGTTATAAAATCAACACTAATAAATCGGTAGCCTTTATATATACCAACAACAGTCAAGCTGAAAAAACAGTCAAGAACTCTTTTCCGTTTACAGTAGTGCCAAAGAAGATGAAATATTTGGGAGTTTACCTAACAAAAGATGTGAAAGATCTCTATAAAGAGAACTATGAACCTCTAAGAAAAGAAATAGCTGAAAATGTTAACAAATGGAAAAATATACCATGCTCATGGCTGGGAAGAATCAACATTGTTAAAATGTCCATACTACCCAAAGCAATATATAATTTTCATGCAATCCCTATTAAAGTTCCATTGTCATACTTGAAAGATCACGAGAAAATAATACTTTGTTTTATATGGAATCAGAAAAAAACTCGAATAGTCAAGACATTACTCAGAAATAAAAATAAACCAGGAGGAATCATGCTATCAGACATCAGACTATACTATAAATCCATAGTGATCAAAACAGCATGGTACTAGCACAAAAACAGAGAGGTAGATGTATGAAACAGAATAGAGAACCAAGAGACGAATCCAATTACTTACTGTTATATCATCTATGACAAGCCAATTAAAAACATTGAGTGGGGAAAAGATTCCCTATTTAACAAATGGTGCTGGGCAAACTGGCTGGTGATCTGCAGAGGACTGAAACTGGATCCACACCTTTCACCACTAACTTAGATAGACTCTCGCTGGATTAAAGATTTAAACTAAAGACATGAAACTATAAAATTACTAGAAGAAAGTATAGGGAAAACCCTTGAAGAAATTGGCCTGGGTGAAAATTTTATGAGGAGGACCCATCAGGCAATTGAAGCAACATCAAAAATACACTACTGGGACCTGATCAAACTAAAAAGCTTCTGCACAGCCAAGAACACAGTAAGGAAAGCAAGCAGATAGCCCTCAGAATGGGAGAAGATTTTTGCTGGTTATGTCTCTGACAAAGGTTTAATAACCAGAATCCACAGAGAATTCAAGTGTATTAGCAAGAAGAGAACAAGTGATCCCATTTCAGGGTGGGCAAGGGACTTGAAGAGAAACTTCTCTGAAGATGACAGCTGCATGGCCTATAGATATATAAAGAAATACTCATCATCCTTAATCATCAGAGAAATGCAAATCAAAATTACTTTGAAATATCATGTAACACTAGTAAGATTAGCCCATATCACAAAATCACAAAATCACAGATGCTGACGTGGATGTGGAGAAAAGGGAACACTTCTACACTGCTGGTTGGATTGCAAACTAATATGTTCCTTTTGGAAAGTCATCTGGAGAACATTTTGAGAATTTAAATAGACCTGCCATTTGATCCTATAGTTCCTCTGCTAGGTATATATAGAGAAATACAAAAATCATACTACAATAAAGATATTTGTACCAGAATGTTCATTGCAGCCCAATTTATAATTGCTAGGTCATCGCTTCTCAGCCTTTTGGCTAAGATCAAGTGTAGCATAATTGCTAGGTCATGGAAGAATCCCAAGTGTCCATCGACCCATGAATGGATCAATAAATTGTGATATATGTACACCATGGAATACTATACAGCCATAAAGAAAGAGACTTTACCTCCTTCATTTTTACATGGATGGAGGTGGAAAATATTCTTCTTAGCAAAGTATCTCAAGATACTTATAGGAAAGCTATAACCCAATTATAGCCCAAGAATATGGGGAGAGGGAGGGGAGGGGAGGGGGGAGGATGGGTGGAGGGAGGGTGATTGGTGGGATCATGACTATGGTTCATCTTAAAAGGGTACATGTGAATCTTTCTAAATGTAGAATACAAATGTCTTAACACAATAACTATGAAAATGACACGAAGGTTACGTTAAACAGTTTGTTGAAAATATTTTAAACTGTATATAAAAACAGCACACTGTACCCCATGACTGTATTAATGTACAGAGCTATGATTTAATAAAAAAATTAAAAAAAAAATAAAACGAGGAAGTTGAACTAGATCTAGGAGATCCCTGGCAGATTTAAAAAAAAAAAAAAAAGAAAGAAAAAGAAAACCCCATCCAATAACAGTGGAATACAAATAGTTTTTAAGCACACACGGAAGATTCACCAAGAGAGATTATATTCTGGGTATAAAACAAATCTCAATAATAAAAGGATTCATATAATATAATGTATATTCTCTGGTCAACAATGGAATTATATTAGGAAGCAATAACAGAAAGAAATCTGAAAAAAATCCTATAAATATTTGGAAATTGAACAACAGACTCTAAAAGATTGGGTCAAAAAAAATGAAAATGGAAAGGAGAAAGTATTTTGAATTGAACAAAAATGAAAATGTATATCAAAATTTGTGAGGCATAGCTAAATCAATATTTATAGGGGAATGTATATTATTAAATTCTTTCATTATAAAAGAAATGACTGAAATCAAACTGTGGTCCCTAGAAGAGCACATCACCTAAGAACTTATTACAAATGCACATTCTTGAGCCCTAACCCAAACAAACTGAATCAGACACTGTAAGGGTGAGGCCCAGCAAACAGTGGTCCTCCAGGAGATTCAGATGCAAATTCAATTTGAGAACCACTGTTATGTACTATTTGAATGTCTTTTTTATTGTGCTAGTGTTTTTTCAATAAGGAGTCTACACAGATGACACTGCTCTGAAGTTCTTGTCATTTAACAATCTTGCTTTGAATAGTCTGTTCATCTTGTGTCAAATTTAGAAAATTCACAAAACATCCTACAAGAGTCCTGCAACTGATTAACCCTATAAATAATGCTTCCTTTGCTAAAAAGGTCCAAATTACAAAAGACATATATAGATACAATTTTTCTTGAGATCCGCAGGGAGACAGAGGACAATCATCAGTGAGAAATCTGATCCCACTGAATAATTTCCTACTGTTTATTCTAGGCCCTCAATGTGAGAACCAATCATACTCACTGATGAGAAGGAAGAGATAAATGTTAAATCTAAATGGCTTATGTAACGATAATTTGCTAGAAATAAAATTTTATACTTATGCTTGAATATGAAATTTGTCTGATGTTCTGGAAAGTCACTTCGTACAAAATACTGAAGCCGTACCATAAGTTAATTCAAAAGCACTAATTCCCATAATGGTAGGTATCATCTTCCCAACTAATTTAACCCATCAATCTCAAGCAGATCTGGTCTCTATTGAAATTTGCTGTCTTTCATCTTTCCTGGGCTAGGGAGATAAATGATTTTGGTTTTAATGGGCTTCAGATAGTTTCTGCTAATAACATAATCCTCATTGCATCAAAATAGTTAACTGACAAGTATGGATGAGAATTTCAATAAGAACTTAAAAGCAACCATTTGCCATGGAAGAGTTATAATTTGGGTATCTTTCTATTAATCTCCATTTACTATATGACAGTCTCTAAAAATAAAGGGGAAAATATAGTGAAATTCTTCCAGTATTCTAGGCTCCAGAGGGAAAATATAATCCATTCTATGCCAGGTTTCTCCCCCAACTTTTGTTGACTTTCATCAGCATTAAAAGTTCTTTCTAAATCATTGCCTTCTGCTCTTTCTTGTGCTTTTAAACAGAGGCCCAACACAGCTGCCTATGGGGCTATGAGAGTATAATTATTCAAGTAATCAGCCAGCCGCTACTGTTAAAATGTTTTAATATCAATGTAAAGTGAGATCAGGGCTTTACAAGCAGATTTCAGAATGCAAATATTGACTCCTAAAATAGTTTCTCTCCCTTTTGGAAGCCTAAAGATGAACAAATTTCCAGTATATTTTTTTAAAGCATACTTTTTTTTCCATTTTAATACACAGTTAACATGCAAAATAACTAATTTCCAAATCTAAATTCTCTAGTAGAAACATTCAAATTAAGTCAAGCATTTTAATTTACTTATTAAACATAAAATCTAGTGAGAAACCTCACTTTCCCCCACATCTCAGAAAAACCATCACTGATTCCTTTCTAGAGGATTGATGGCATTAACAGCACTTGGATCTCCCTTGTCAGCATCCAAACATCCTTGGTTCACACTATGTAAATCAGTATTTTAGTTCCAGTTGCTGAAAATGCCCTGCTATCTTCTTTACTGCATTTAAACTTGGCAAGGCATCTACAACAATGCACAGTTTGGAAAATTAGCTATGAAGAAAAGCCTGACTGAAGAATTAACCATACATCTTGGCTGACAATTAAGTGAGTATATTAATAGAAATGTAAAGTTCCAAGTAGTATTCTTTTTGTATCCTCTCCAAGTTACTAGCATGTGCATGCCAGAAAGTAAGAAGCAGAAGAAGGTAACAACAACCACATACAGGAATCCTCCCTAGAGCGAAAAACAAACAAAATACATACTACAATGGGAAAAACCACTGACCCTCTTTCGAATTTTATTTGTAGCTGTGAGCAATCTCCAAACTAAGAGACTCATAAATTAAGGAACAATTTCAATGCACTGAGGAGGGGTCAGCAATTTCTATTAGGATATTATTGAAATTCTCATTTTATTCTAAGAGTTGTATATGTTTCATTGCTGTATTTGGTGCCAAAAACTAAGAAATAAGTAAGATAAACTTCAAATGTACCCACTTCAAAAAAATTAAAAGCTTCCTTAATGCATTTTTCTTTGCCTTTTCTCAAGCAAATAAATTAATAGAACAAATAGAAATTCAAAACATGACTATAATACATAGTATTACACAAGATAATTCATTTTCCTTCAATAACTTAGTCTGTTCCAAAGTATTTCTGTCCAAAATGTGTAGGTGCAACAGGATGAACTTCAGTAGTTAAAATTGTGATCTCCGGAAACTCTTGAATGATTGATTTGGCACCTTCAAAAAATAAAGAAAAAAAAATTGTTATGGCAGAGTATTTTTTTAACATCACTCAGAATTCAGAAATTTTATAGTCATTGGTCAGTAGTTCTAATATTGGCAAATGATAGGGAACAATTACCTTTAGATATCAAGTCATACTTGGTTAATCTCTTTGTTCATATGTTTATATAATGTCTGATGTCTGCAAAGCTTTAGGAATCAGACTATGCCCCCCTTATTCTTAAAATCAAATTGTTTCATATCCAAGATTAGAAAAATAGATATTCAGTTATAACAACTTTGCCTCTGATAATTCTTTTTTGTTTTATTTTAAAGGTGGCTGAAATAAAGTGAATGCAGTCCTTTCTAAAAACAGGATCATACATGAGATGATGGTTTCCCAACGGAAGCTCTGTGAAATAAGTGGACACTTCTTTGGTGTGTCAGAGCATGCTAGCTGTTTAGAAGTTAGGACTCTAGCTTTGGAGAAGGGAAACAAGCAGAGAAATGGAATTAATACTAGCTGGGACCGCACTTAAACTATAAAACCATCCCATAGTTGCCACAAGATTTTTTTCAGCTATAATGTCAAAGAATCATATACTATTCTAATGTATACTGTTAGAAATAAAGATATTATTTTTCTATTCCTAAAAGCAAAGGTCTTAATAATTATTGGATTATCTCAATATTTTCACTGCCACCTGTGTTATATACAAATGCTGACAAAACAAATCATCCTTTGTCACTACCAACATTTGAACTACAAGTTATTTTTGGTTATGAAATAGCAAAGTAATTAAACAGGCCACAATTCCTATACAGTAGCCTATTGAAAGCAGCATACCCAAGCAGATATCCTATAGCCTCTTCAGGATTGGCTAAGATTTATAAGCTTCAGAAATCAGAAAACACCTGATTATGAAGGAAATACTAATTCATCATAGAACACTTGAAAAATGCAAATAAAAAGTTAAAAAATAAAATGAAAAATGCTTAGAATTCCACCATCCTAAGATGACACTATAAATACTATGTGCATTTTGAAAGCAAAATTGAAATAGTACTGCATAACTATCTAACCTCTCATGCTCAAGATTTATTGTGTTTCACATTAAATCCACATCTGATTTTGCTGGTTAAAACAGCAGTAATTTGTATTACTCACCTTTAGCTTGGTGATGACATTTTACAGTATTCTAATGTTGTTAATTTTACACTGCTTTTTTACATTTCCCATGTACATTTTTTGATGCCATTATTTTTCAAAAACATGATTTAATGGTGAAATATTACATCCTTTGAATATGTATATTATTTATTTAACCATTTCCTTATTCAGAGGTATTTACTTACTTCTTTTTTTATTATATCAAATAATGATATAATAAATGAGCAACGTAGAAGCTAAATTTTTACATGCATCTAAGATTATTTTCTTAGGACATGTTCCCAATTGCCCTGTATTATATGGCAAAAAAGCCAACATCTTTAGTTAGAAACATCTCCCTCAGGAATGGAGAACACACAATTTTCTCACCATGCTGTGTGAGCAGAAGTCTAACTTAAAAAACTTCCATTCTTCACTTCACACTGCAAAGCTTACTTCAGTAAAACCACATAGCTAGCTAGAATCTAGAGTTTCCTAATTTTGGGGAGCAGTTCAGAAGCTCAAGTGGGGAGCCAGAGGAAACAGGAAACTTTCAGCCATTTGTAGGCTCTACCCAAACAGGGCAACAAAGAAAATACTTCCAATTCTTTTCAACAGGTTAGTTTACACTCCTTCATTTGAAATTAAACAACATTAAAATGGTGTAAAATATTATCACTAACCTTAGAGATGACAGACACAAGTTATAACTACCAAAATTAGATTTAGATTTAAACACGGAAGTAAATAAACTTTTCCTCAGGATTAACACCTAGACAGATGCACACTTATCCATCTCATGACAATCTGGAGCTTCACGCTAAACTCACCATGAGGAGTGGAAAACAGACTGAGTAGTATGATAACACTGGGTTGAACTCCATGTTCTATAAGAACCTTTACAGCTTCAATTACAGTATTTCCAGTGCCTGAAATCAAAAGACAACCAAATGCATTAGCAATGGTAACATTTATTTCTAAACGTCTTTTAAATGTCTTTGAAGTAAGGTCAACATAGTAATCTAACATAAGATACCACTGGAAAAAACTTCATTTAAAGCTCCTTGTTCTTTATCAGTGTTATTTTCAATAATGGACATAACACACACACTTTTCAGTTACCAAACACACTACAAGCCCTAAATTCATTTTATATTCAAGGTGTTAAACTTAACACACTCCCCCTTCATCTCTCCAGGAGGCCATGCCATGCATGATCTGAGTAAGCTTAGTAAAAAGAATAGGATAACAGAAAAAAAATATTACTTCCAGAGAGAATAAATTCTTGAGAAAATCATTGCTGTATTCATTAGGACAGAGAGGGGATATGTTACAACATATATGCTGTGTTCTACATATTTTGCCTCAGTAGAGCCTTTGTTTCAATGTGTTCATTTCAAAACATAAGCTCTTTGGAGTTAATAAAGTTTGACTAATGTATATTATCTTATTATACAAGGGTAAAAGGATACCTAGGAGGCAAGCAATAAGCTGAATTTAAACCCTAACCAAAGAATACAAATTAACTCATGCCACTCACTGAGAATTGGATACATCAGAAGGACCTTTCTTCTGTAAATGTCTGGGGGGAACTTGGCATAATATACTTTGGCTCTTTGTGTCTCCTCATCACTCTGAATCAGGATCTTTCCAATTCGAATGGATCGACAGCAGTCTCGTAAACCTTGTTCCATTGCCTCACCTTGAAGAAGGAAATAAAACAGAAGGAAAAAGGGTTAGAAGACAGACTGAATAGGTCTGAGAACAGGCCAAAGCATAGTTAGTAATACTTATTGCAGGTCAATGAAACCAGGTTAAGGGCTTGTCAATGAAAGTAGAATAAGCTAGTTTTACTGCTGGCTACAAACTGCAGAGCTGTCATGGTTCCAAAAGTACAGGAAATAAAATATTTGGTTCAGCTGCTGCCTAAGCTTTTATCAATGTCAAGAACATTTTTATTCTAATTACTTTAAAGAAGACTTAAACCATCTAAACTTGTCACTTTTATTTGGAAAAAAAAAACATTTTATGGAAGAATAAGGGCTGGAGAGATCAAAGGATCTCCTTTTAGATTGAGGTGGCATAAGGAGACATCACTTAGCTCAGCAATGACTTCACTAGCAAAAGTTTTACTATAAACAGTGAAAAAGTAATATGTTATTCCTCTTCCCTCAGTGAATCACAACTACCACCACCACTACCACCTTTGGTTTCTGAACACAGAGCCATTTTAAACCCTGAATTCCCTTAAGGAAGTGTTTTCCAAAAGTCAATCATTCTCATGCTATCTTCAAGATTTGAGGCCATATTAGAATTCTACCAATACTGGTATTTAGTTAATATTCTTCTTAAATTAAATTAACTATTGTCATTTCAATTTATTTTAAGAGAAAACTTTAAAGCCTGACACTGTGGCTCACATCTATAATCCTAGCACTTTGGGAGGACGAAATGGATGGATTGCTTGAGCTCAGGAGTTTGAGACCAGCCTGAGCAAGAGTAAGACCCCATCTCCACTAAAAATGAAAAACTGAGGCAAGAGGATTGCTTGGGCCCAAGAGTTCTGAGGTTGTTGTGAGGTTTGATACCATAGCACTCTACCCAGGGTGACAAAGTGAAACTTTGTCTTAAAAAAAAAAAAAGAGAAAACTTTATATTGCTAGTGTTAACATAAAACCAGTTCCTTTCTAATGTACATGAAAATCAACAAATGGTTGTTAAAGTTAAAAACAATTCTCTGTGCATCACCCCAAACCATCTGGTACACACTATGAGTACAAGGACCACGCTGGTGCCTTTGGGGAAGGAGATGAACTAAAACAGAACAACCTGTACCACTGTGTTCTCCAATTTAAAAAAATTTAACATTATCCTATGAATCTTGTCATTCCTTAAGAGCTACCATCCAGAAAAAAAAGAACCTTAAAGCTCCTAATTTACCTGAGTTATTCAATTGTTCACAAACTTCATAGAAAAACAATGTTTACATGTTAAAAAATTAATCTACATATCTCCAGTGGAAATAAGTGGGAATTCCACTATTTGTAAAAAAAAAAAAAATGCAAAACAAAAATGTGTATCTTGTGCAAAAAAAAATAAGCTGAATGAAAATAACCATCTCTGTGTAACAGGTATAAGTTCTAATCATAGGCATGTGACTTTGCTATGCAAAAGATGTTTTAGAAGGGTAATCACTTAGACTCGAACACAAATATAACATTTATAACACCAACAAATGAGGAGTGGGGAAATTGCAGCCTTAAGGAAACATGTGGCCTTCCTGGTCTTAAGTGTAGCCTTTTAACTTAATCCAACTTTACATAACAAATTCTTTATTAAAAGGGGCACAACAGAGAAAAATAAAGCTTTTCTTGCCTTTGGTGCTTGAAATCCGAAGGATGCAGGTTCCCCATCTCAGCATGGGCCTGAATTTATGCCATATTCTCTGTCTTCAAACTGTCATGTTCTCCCCAAGAAAGCATCATTTATTCCTCCCATACTCCCACCCTCCCTTATTCTCTTTGGAAGCTATGCTTATCCAAGGGAACAGGCCACTGTAAAATATGCTCTACACTCTACAGTTGCCAAACAGCAACACACAGGCCATGAATCTGAGGCACCATGAGGATATAAAACACAGGTGGTGAGATTTAATAGGCAGGCTATAATTATGACAAGGCTGCCTCTTTCCTGGAAAAAAAAAACAACAACTATTTCTATGCATGCAAAGAGACAAAAACACACACATGCAAACCTACCACTTCTCATTATGCTGACCCCACAATTTCCCTTCTCAAATTTCACTCCTTCATACTTGTACCCTGTTGGGAAATAAAACCAAAGAATTTATCTTTCATCATTGGAGCAACCTACTTATTTTATAAAGTGCCTATGTTTAAAAGAAGATGGGTAGAGAGCAACCCTTGTCCAGAGACCCTGTATAATGCCTGAGGTTTCCTGGGAAAGTAATAAGATGAATCATGATTTTTCCACAGTTATTTCTTAATTCTTCATAAGAAATCTATGGGGATAACTGGAAGAAGCAGACTTCACTGAATGGGAATAGGATTTATTATAGCATAATATTTTCATACACATTTATTATAGCATAATATTTGAAACTGAATTCAAAGGAGAATCACTGCATTCCAAGAACACTATACACCATATCAATTCAAACTAGGACCCCACTGTGAGCCACAAAAGAAAGCTACTCATTCCATTCCTTTTTATGAGCCTACATTCTGCCTTGACAGAAGAAAAAAACGGTCAAAGTAGTTATCAAGACATGTGTAACCCTTTGTCTCATCTTGAATTTATATTAATTATGATGCAACTAGCTCAGCCCCCAATATTCATAAAGTCATGCCTTTCAATAGAACAGTTTTCCTTTATTTACTAAAACAAAATCAGAATTTCAAATCTCTGAAACAGAGATCTTTGGATACTTTATATTAAAAAGAATAGAACAAAGCACCTTCTCCTGTTCTGATCAATTTTAGTTGTCTTTTTCTTTTTTACTTCTCATCTTTTTTTTTTTTTCCTAAACCTGGAGTTTCAGTGGCAAACCAGCTTTGCCTATTTCTTAACACCAGAAGCTTCTCCACAGAGGTGAAGATAAGCTGTCAACAATTCTTAACTCTAATCCCAACAGGCCTGCAACAGAGGCAACACCTACATGATGAAGAATATTTATTAACCTTTAACTGGAATTGACAAGCAAACCATTAACAAAAAGTCACGTACACAGATTTATTTCTTAAATGTCTCAGAGTTTTTTAAAATGTTTAAAAGAACAGCTCCACCTAGACTCTTTACTTTACATATTGATTTTTCTTAGACTGCTTTCTTTCCATCTTGCACCATTCTGGCTCAGAAATTTTATGAGGAAAAATTGGAGAGTAAGAGCCCTGGTTACCTGTTGGAGTGGTCACCATGCATTCCTTATATGGCAGCTGATTCAATCCCTCTTCCACAACAAGTCTGATCTAAAGAGTCAAAGGAAGAATAAGTTAAGAAGCCACTGAGAATCTCCTCCTACCTGTTAGCATTAGGAGCTGAATAGTAGGCAGAAAGTCAATGACACACTAGGCAAGGGTTTCGTTTATAAAGGTAGGAAGGGGCTCCTATCAATTGTTAGATACAGGGATATATCCAAATGCCAGGCTACTTGCTGCTAGTCATCCAACCACATTTAGACATGATTGCCACCAAAAGGCTGAAGTCCTCCTTCTAATTCTCATTCAATCATACAGCTCTATGAGGGATACAAAACTCCAGAATGTGACAAGAGTCTTATCAGGCATCCTTCCTTGGAAGTAATATACTTCTGATTGCTCTGAAAATAGTGCCCAATGGGAATTTCTCTGCTTTGTTCAGTACCTTTAAATTGGTAAGTCACATTCTTATTTATTTATTTATTTATTTATTGTAGTTTTTGGCAGGGGCCGGGTTCAAACCTGCCACCCCCAGTATATGGGGCCGGCGCCGCTCTACTCCTTGAGCCACAGGTGCCACCAGGTAAGTCATGTTCTTTTTAACGAAGGTCCACCATAATGTAATTAGAGCCTGAAATTTCTTTTGAGAAAATAAATGAGTGTATGGGCTGAACCAATTTACTGAGCTTGAAGGAGGATCCAGTAGAATGCATTTGAATTTTTCAGCTAAAAGAAAGGCTCATAACCAAAAAAAAAAAAAAAAAAAAAAAAAAAAAAAAAGGTTAAAAAAAGGGGGCATCTGTGGCTCAAAGGAGTAGGGCGCTGAACCCATATGCCGGAGGTGGTGGGTTCAGACCCAGCCCTGGCCAAAAGTTGCACAAAGAAAGACTCATACCAATTTTAATATGTGTTACAGTGGAAATAATCACTCAGAACTAGTAGAAACAGCCTCCAGAAACGAGATATGGCAATTCCATGAACCAGACCCTACTAAAATAAAGGTGGTGCTGAGTCTGTAATGCACATTTTATCCAATCAATATTACATAACTGATTGAGAATCAGGAACAGCAGGGAGAAGCACCAGGTCTCATGCTCTGTTACCACAACAACATCCTGATGCCATTAAAGGATTGATTAGAAATGAGCCAGGACTTTGTCAGCCTGCAGCTTCAGACAGAGGGACCAGGAACCTCATGAATACTGCATAATATGTGCATAATCACTTCTAGCCACCACATTCTGTGGAGATTTATGCTTTTCATGATCAAATTACAAAGGCAGAAGAAGATTTTTTTCTTTGAAGAGCCTAGATCTCCTCCTTTTGGTAACACTCCTTTAAAAGAGTCTTAATACCTCTTGCCACATCCCCTGCAACCTTGGGACAAAAATTAGCATGTCCAGGGCAGCACTTGTGGCTCAAAGGAGTAGGGCGCTGGCCCCATATACTGGAGGTGGCAGGTCCAAACCCAGCTCCAGCCAAAAACTGGAAAAAAAATAGTTAAGTTAACTTATGTTTTCATAAGTTAACTTATGAAAAAACTTATTAAAAATTAGTTAAGTTAACTTGTGTTTTCATGCCCAAATGTTGTTGACCAATCACAAGCATGTCCAGGCAGCACCTGTGGTTCAAAGGAGTAGGGCACTGGCCCCATATACCAGAGGTGGTGGGTTTAAACTGGGCCCCAGCCAAAAACTGCAATGAAAAAAAAACATTACCATGTCCAACTCTTGCAGGAAAACATAAACCAAAAGAAGGGCAACTAAAATATAAAGAATGTAAGGATCTATGGGCCAGGGAAGCCAAATCTGACAAATTCAGGATAGAATTAATGTCCACTATAATGGGACCCTTGCACTAAGGAGCTAGTATACTAGAAATCCTCAACAAGAAAAACCTAAACGGTTCCAGTCTGTACCAAAAACATAACCAACTCTTCCCCTCATACCAGGACCCTCAAAGCCAACCACAGAGAACAGAAAGGTCCAAATTACCATACCCTCAGGTGAATTATGACTTAGGTCCTTATTACCTCATTTGGCTAATACATAATGCCTGCTGCCTGCCCTTTCAGGGAAGCATCTTAAAATAACCATGAACTTATCTCCTACTTTCTATAGAAAAAGAGCTCAAGGAAGGCAATAGAAAGAGGAGCTACTTTATACCAGTGAACATCAAGACCCCTGTTCTCTCCATAGCAGCCATTAAGATGTAAGTTCCTTCAAACCTGTTCTTTGGTTTGATGAAATCATAAAAGATATAATGACCTAATTATTGTCCCAGAAATATCACCCACGTTTACCTTGGTACTAGGTAGGGTTATTATTACTATCCCTGAAAGCGCAAATGATTTTAAATACAATTGGGCCCCAAAACAAGAACATTTAAAGCCTGACAGTAAAACAGGAGTTGTCTGCATTCTTTTGGAATAAATCACCCAGGGAAAATCTAAATGAAAAGCTTCATGCCATTTTCTCCCTCACATTACCTTGAACATACTGTTGACAGATCATAAGTTAACTTGTGTTTTCATGCCCAAATGTTGTTGACCAATCACAAGTTAACTCAGGTTTGCACTGGCATTAGCTATTACAATTTTTAAAATGCATGGTAGTGCAGATTATTGTAAAAGTTTTCTTGATCGTGTCACTGGAATAACAGCCAGTGACATGGGACAACATTTGCATAAAATTGTCAGTCAACAATGTATTAATAATCTACCTACTACTATTTGATTATAACTTTAAGGGTTAATAAGCCACATTTCTTTCTTTCTCAAACTTAATACTAATAACAGCATTTAGACCGTAATCTCCATGAGATTAGGAACTATGTCTCTATTCTTCACTGTTGTATCTCTTCTCTCTCCCAACACGGCCTACTGCAGTGTCTGACTCACATGAGTTCAGCATATTATTTCATGAATGGCTGAATACTAATAATCACAGCAGAAAACATGTCAACCCCATTCCAAGCACTGAATATACTTATATATTAACACAAGAATGAAACAGTGCCCACCCTGAAGACAAACCAAGTTAGCCTAAGATCCTCTCAGGTCATAATACCTAAACAGATTTGTGCTTGGTCAATCTTTAATTCAGATGTCCCTGAAGTGTAGACAGTTCAATTTAATAATTCAGGATAATTCAGAAAAGAAAACACAAAATTAACTTATCCTTCCCATGTAAACTTCAAGAAACATATTAATTTTTGTAATATTAGCTGGATATCACAAACGTAACCACTAGGTCTCCTTATATCGTAGGTTTTCTTTAATGTACTTCACTGCACTAAAATGAAGCACTTAACAGTTGCTGAGAACCAGGTTCTCAAGATCCATGTGAGAGGTAATGATACCTCAGAATTATATGGAGGTATAACCAATGCTTTGAGGTGAAAGGAAATGAAGCAAAGCTTTAATGAAACAATAAAATAATACTTCAAGAGACTAGCAAAATGGTGGTTACTTGGTACAATCTCTTTCACCCCTAGAATGATCAAGAACAAAACACCCCTCGGCCTACCATGATTCTATCACTAGGTATCGCAGTGAAATGAAAATGGAAAGCCTCCACCTACCAAACGATCCGCAGAAAACATGAAGTCCCCTCTACTGGCTGTCCTAAAAGAAACAGTACAGTTTTAGTCTAAATTAAAGCTGAACGGTAAAATATAATTTAATACAAATTACTAATACACTGATATCAAAACCTATTACATACTAAAAGCTTAAATGTTTACATAAACAGACTGAGGGAAGATGATTTTAACTAGTATACAGGAACCTAAATGGGGTGATTTGATAAATATTATTGGATATGTTTACTTGACATCAACATTAGAAATTGGAACTGAAAAGATCATGCAGTTCTGCACTGAGCTGCCCAAGTACATATTATCACAAAATTACCATGGAGGGTGAGAGCAATCCCACAGCTCAAGTTGAGAAAAAAGTTTGTAATAAAAGCCGGGTCTCCCCATCATTCCCCTCAATTCTTGATCTAAAGCCCCATTACCAAGATAAAGTAACCATCTACTTTGTAATTGTTTCTGGAATTAGAATGGTACAAACAAATCCTCTACTTTTCGTTAAAAAACATGTAACCTAACTTACAAGACCTTTTTCTCAAATGATTGACAATTTATTCCTTTATAGCCTGTTTTTTCAAACAAGTATTTCATTCCCTACATTTTTACGTCATTTTCCTGCACATTTCTTTCTGTCAATACCTTCATATCCTGAAGCACCCAAGTAATCATAATCTGGGGATGCACCTACCCACAAGCTGTTAAGGAGACAAAAAGGGAATTGTTTTGTCGTTGAGACAGAGTCTCACTATGGCACCCTTGGTAGAGTGCCATGGTGTCATAGCTAACAGAAACCTCAAACCTTTGGGCTTAAGCGATTCTCTTGCCTCAGCCTCCCAAGTAGCTGGAACTACAGGCACCTGCCACAATGCCCAGCTATTTTTTGTTGCAGTTGTCATTGTTTTTTTTTTTTTGTTTTTTTTTAGCTGGCCCATGAGTTCAAACCTGCCACCCTGGGTGTAAGTGGCTGGCGCTATGGTTTATCTTACAAGGGTACAAGGGAATCTTTCCAAGAGTAGAATATGATTGTCTTAACAGAATAACTAAGAAAATGACATGAAGGCTATGTTAACCAGTTTGATGAAAATATTTCAAATTATATATGAAAACACCACACTGTACCCCAGAATTGCATTAATGTACATAGTTATCATTTAATAAAAAAAGAAATAGGTTCTATTTCATGTACTGTGGTTTTTAAATGAGACTACACTATTATACCAGCACCTCTCATTTCTATAATTAATCTTTACAACATGCTTGTCAAGGAGGTAAAAAGCAATGAATCACGAAAACTACTGAAGCCTCATGCTTTGTTTGTTAGACCTATACAAACTTGTCTAGGCAGCCAGAACATATTGTTTCAATAGGAAAGAAAAGTCTGAATTTGTCTTACATATGCAATGATATATATCAAGAACACATCTGAAATGTTTTAATTTCTGAACAGTTAAACATCAATTTATCACACAGAAAAGTTACATTAAGTGATCAAAACTTCCCAAATTTGTTATTTTACTTTGGAATCATATATTTTAATAAATTTCACACTCCCCCCTCACAATCAGCCTCAGCTATTAACTTTAGCATAATAATCACCTTCTTTGTCTACTTTCCAAAAAGGTATACACTATGAGAATATGAACTGTCACCTCTTGACATCTATTTGAGCTTCAATTAAATCATTTATTGCTCCAAGTCACTGCACTACAAACAGTAACTACAAACCTATTTCCTGCTGTTTCAGATAGACTTCAGACTCACAATGAATTTCAATTTAGAAATTAAAATAAATCTAGTAAGTTGACTATTATTTTTTTTTTGAAAAATCCCAGTGACCTTCAATATCACATTCAAATATTTAACATTGTTAAGATTGGAATTTCATAATGCAGATATTTACTTTTTGGATGAAAAAAGCTTCACGTATTCTCTGAACTTCTTCTTTAGACTAACACTAGGCAGAATTTTTAATAAAAATACATTAATATAAACCATAACCCAGGTATTATTCACTCCACACATTTTTTAAATCATAACTCTATTCATCTATTCATTGTGTTTTAAAAACTTTGAAAACAACTTGTTCTCTTAGAAACCAAGCTTTGATAGACATATTTATCACCCTCTGAAAACTGACCCAAATAAAATCTAATGTGATCACAATGCAAAAAACACACAAATATCCCTGAAATATTCTAAAATATATCTAAATAATCAAATAAAAAACATTTAAACAGATAGTGATAACCAGCACTCGAACCTAAACCATGGAAATCTAATTAATGTTAAGGGGAGTATCTTTAAATTGTACAAACCCCAAGCAGGTTTAACAATGCAGACCTAACCATATCTTAGAATACACTTTCCTTGACACCTCCTCACACACACTAATACAGTAGAATCTCTATAAAGTTGAGCACTCAAGGGACTGTATCCACTGGTCAACATAAGGAACTAGGCCTACTACAGTGATATGTACATGTGGTACATGTCTGGCCTGTGACAATTAGATCAACTTAAGCAGGTGGTCAATGTAGGGAGTAGTCAACTCTGAATGTTCTACTGCACATCACACACCTGTAGTAACCAGATGAAAGGCATAAGCAATGACTTTAAAAAGTGATACTCATACTAAAACAACAAAAGAATGAGATTAATACTGGAGGCCAAATCCTCATTTTTTTTTTATTATTGCAGATTCCTTGAGGGTACAAAAAACCAGTTTACATTGATTGCATTTGTTAGATACAGACCCTCTTATACTTGTGTCACACTCCCAAAAGTTGTGCCACACCCCGTGACCCCCTCAGCCCCTCCTCCTTCCCTTTCTCTGCTCTCCTCATCCCCCACCCCCCACTGTGAATTAGATCATTAATTGTCCTCATATCAGAATTGAGTACACAGGATTCTTGCTTCTCCATTCTTGTGATGTTTTACTAAGAAGAATATGTTTCACTTCCACCCAGGTTAATATAAAAGATGTAAAGTCTCCATCTTTTTATGGCTGAATAGTATTCCATGGTATACATATACCACAACTTGTTAATCCATTCTTGGGTTGGTGGGCATTTGAGCTATTTCCACTTTTTTGCAATTATAAATTGAGCAATAAACAGTCTAGTGCTAAGTGTCCTTATGGTAAAAGGATTTTTATCCTTCTAGGTAAATGCCCAGTAAGGGGATTGCAGGATCAAATGGTAGGTGTACCTTGAGTCCTTTGAGGGTTCTCCATACTTCCTTCCAGAAAGGTTAGATTAGTTTGCAGTCCCACCAGAAGTGTAAAAGTGTTCCCTTCTCTCCACATCCATGCCAGCCCCTGCAATTTTGAGATTCTGTGATGTGGGCCATTCTCACTGGGGTTAGATGGCATCTCAGGGTGGGTTTTGATTGGAATTTCACTAATAATTAGGGATGATAAGCATTTTTTCATGTTTGTTAGCCATTTGTCTGTCTTCTTTAGAGAAGGTTCTATTCATCTCCCTTGCCCCAGTGATATAAGGGATTATTGGCTCTTTTATGTTGATTGAGTTATTTGTAGAGCCTAGATATCAAGCTTTTTTGTCAAATTCAAAATATGCAAATATCCTTTCCCATTGTATAAGTTGTTTGCTTTGGTTGTCTCCTTAGCTGCACAGAAGCTTTTCAGTTTAATTAAGTCCCATTTGATTATTTTTGCTGCTGTTGTTGTTGTTATTGTTTTCTGAGACAGAGCCTCACTATGTCACCCTGGGTAGAATGCTGTGTTGTCACAGCTCACAGCAACCTCAAACTCTTGGGCTTAAGCAATTTTCTTGCCTCAGCCTCCCAAGTAGCTGGGACTACAGGCGCCCACCACAATGCCTAGCTATATTTTTGTTTTTGTTCCAATTGCTACTGAAGTCTTCTTTCCCCAGGCCAATATCTTCAAGTGTTTTCCCATATTTTCTTTGAGGATTTTTATTGTTTCCCGCCTTAAATTTAGGTCTTTTATCCATCTTAAATCAATTTTTGTTAGTGGAAAAAGAAGCGGGTCCAGTTTCAGTCTTTTACATATGGTTATCCAGTTCTCCTAGCACCATTTATTGAATAGGGATTTTTTTCCCCCAGTGTATGTTCTTGTTTCCTTATCTGGCAACTTAAGTTGAGAAGAAAAAATAGACTGAAACTCAGCACTAATTATGTTTTTGTGGGGTTTTTTATTTTTAAGCAACAGGGTAAAGGAACACTGGAACATAAAAAGCTTTTCTGGCAGTTTTAAACCAAAGGAATGTTTCATTTTTAAGTTAATGTTTAGTGAAAGCATTGAAAACATAATCACGACATTTCTAACTACTTTATTATGTGACAAGTAAAAGAATAGTCCTGAAATTTTCCATGGTATGTAGATGATTTATAAATGATTTTCCTTCTTCCTTCCTTCACAGAAACTAACTCCCGATATAGTACTTGGAACAAACCTAACAATGTGAAAAGTTAAAAGAAAAAAATAGTTTTTATCTGCCAGGTGCCAAGTCATCAAGGGCAGAGCTCTTTAGCACCTTAATTAACTCATAGAGTGTCATACTTGTTCCTCAAAGCAGGGTTCAATGTAAACATTCAAAATCAGAGAGAAAAATAAGAAAAACTAACATTTTACCTTATTATTATGTTTGCTACAATAATACAACTATGTGCCAGGCCAGATCCTCTTTCTTTGTCCTTGGAGTCCAGACTAGCTGGTAAAACATTATGAGGATATGCCCAATAAATATTACAGGAGTCTGTATAGCTCAAAGAGGGGACTTCCTCTCTCTGCACTAAAAATCAGTTAGGAAATTCACATGGGAAACACACAAAAACTAAAATCACGTCCAGGTTCTAAACAATTTACAAGTCACAATTTTTCTCCTATGGTGGGCATTTTAGTTTTATCCAAGTTGAAGGGGAAAGTTGTGAGATTCCTTTGTTCTCAGGACGGCATCAGGCTCTTTAGCCTGGTTCTATCTAGCCTGTGTAATCCCTGGCTCACCCTATACTCCAAATCTGAAGCCTGGCATGTTACCACACAAGGAGGCTGGCCATTCTCCCAGGGGCTGTGGCCTAGGCTGAGCACAGCACAGTCACCTGTTATGGTATTTGTCAAGTTACAGATGATTTGGTTCCACTCAATACCACACAAACAACCTCTAAGGTTGGTGGTTAGAAACTAGTATTTAAAAAAAAAAAAAAAAAACCTCCACAGACAAGTCTGATTCACAGCTTTGGTTAAAAACAGTACTTAGTCACATGATTCAAATCACATTAGGCTGCATTCATTTTAGGGTTACATAGGATGTTCATCTACCCTGAGGTTGTCTCCTCTCCAAGTGACTTTAAAATAAAAAAAAAAGTCACAAGACTGACTGAGCTCCTTCTTTAGGGTTATTTCTTGGACTGAAATACTCCACATAGCCTGATGAGGCAATGTCAAAGCCCCTTCTAGGACAAGTATACAGGAAACATTCAACAGCTCACAAAACAGCTTTACTCTAATGTTTCAGAAACTGGAAAAGAAAAACCATAAAACTGGACAGGTAGGATGATCTTTATATACACCATTGCTTTAAATATGAGGTCATGAACTATGTTCACAGGAAAAATACATTACAATCAAATTTAGCTGTCTTTCGTATATAAAGGAAGTGAGAAGAGAAGAATGTATAGTTTAATCTATTCCAACAGCAAAAAGTAAAAAAAAAAAAAAAAAAAAAAACAGAAATGAAGGAGTCACTTATCTTCCCAAGTTTACCAGTGACCCACATACGTATGGCTGAGTAAATTATCTGCTCATTTGGTGTTTACATTATTGTACTCTCAAGGAAAGAGAAATTCAGTAATAGAGCCAACATATTATGTTTTAAATATTGTGTATTTTGAAAATATAAAAAGGACATTTTAAATCAGCACAATATTCTCAATCTTGCCTGCTATGTAGATACACGCAAATACACACACACACATGCAACATGCGCATACAGTCCTGCTTGCTCAACCTCCATTTCCTCATGCCAAAGTCAATTCACAAAGCAATCCCTTCACTAGATATATGCTAAAGACCAGGAACAATGAAAGTAAAAAATGTACTCCAGTGGCTTCTATTACTAAACAACTTTCCAGAGCACATATTTGCTATCACATCAAAACAGAGATAAACATAATCCCTGAAAACAACAGGGTGTGATAACTGAGGGTACCTTCCAGAATAGGCCTATGTAAATACAGCTCCTCTTACCATAGGCATCCTGCACCAGTCTCCTAGAAAGGCTAAACATGTCTTGTTTGTATGAGGGGATGGCAATTTTTTAAAGACAAAGAACAGAAGATAAAGCAGCTGTTAACTGATGTGATTAACAAAAACAAAACTAAAAACACTATTACCTAAATAAGTATCATTTCATTATCAAAAATTATAGTGCGCCTTTCTATACTATAACAAAGCAGGATAAAAATTATCTAGGATTTCTCAGTATTGATTTTCAAAATAAGAATGAGGTCCACGTACAGTTAAATTCCTTTTACTATCTTCTGAAGGCTCATGACAGCATTTACGGATGCAATCAGAAGCACACACAAACCCAAATATGAAGCTCTGAAGTGGTATTAATGTGCAAAGCTCTTCACAGTTTATAACACATGTTCCCTGACAATATCTTGCTTTAGTCCCCAGGAGCTCTATGAGAGATTACCACCATCTTCATTTTACAAATGATAAAGAGATGCTAAATATCTTGCCTGAAATCACTCCTTTGGATCCTGTTGTCTCCTTTCAAACTCAGAAAGAATAAAAATTCCACTTATGCTCAGATTTACTATATAATCCAGGCTTATCTGATATGAATGCTGAATGTCATGCCCTTTCCAAGTTCTACAGCAACAGTTCTTAGCCTTTACATTATCATAACCTTTTGTAAAATCTAATGAAAGCTAAGGAATCCTTACCCCATAAAAAGGGCAAAAGTGAATGTTCATAGCAACATTACACATAATAGTCAAAGAGTGGAAACCACCTAAATGTCCATCAAATGATGAATGGATAAACAAATTGTGGTATATTTGTGCAATGGACTGTCATTCAGCCATAAAACAGAATAATATACTGATACACATGCATGGACCCTGAAAACATTACACTACATAAAACAAGCTGCAAAAAGACATGTTATATGATATGAAATGTTCAGAATAGGCAAAGCAAAAGAGAAGAGTGACTCTTCTCTTGGACTTTGGGTGGACTGAGGAGAAATAGGGAGCAACTGTTAACAGGTATAGGGTCTCTGGCTGGGGTGAGGAAAATGTTCTAAAACTAATTTTGGTGATGTTTACATACCTGTGGGCATAGCTAAAACCACTGAATTATACACTTTAAATGCTTGATATATGAATTACATCTCAATATAGATGCTATTAAAAAAACATTAAAGGTGGTACCTGTAGCTCAGTGGATAGGGTGCCAGCCACATACACCCAAGCTGGCAGGTTCGAACCCACCTTGAGCCTACTAAACAACAATGACAACAACAACAAAGAAATAGCTGAGTGTTGTGGCGGGCACCTGTAGTCCCAGCTACGTGGGAGGCTGAGACAAGAGAATCGCTTAAGCCCAAGAGTTTGAGGTTGCTACGAGCTGTAATGCCACAGCACTTTACTGAGGGTGACATAGTGAGACTCTGTCTCTCTCACACACACTCTAAAAACCATTAAAAGCGCACATACAAATAAAATTTCCCAGATAATTTTTGCTGTTGTTGATACAGAGTCTCACTCTGTCACCCTAAGTAGAGTGCTCTGGCTTCGTAGCTCACAGCAACCTCAAACTCTTGGGCTCATCATCCTCTTGCCTCAGCCTTCTGAGTAGCTGGGACTACAGGCACCCACCACAAGTCCAGCTAGTTTTTCTAGTTTTAGTAGAGAGGAGGCCTCAGTATTCTTTTTAATTTCAAATTAATATGAAGGGACAAATGTTTAAGTTACACTGTTTTCAATTCTAAGGCAAAGTTCAAGTTGTAGTCTCCCTCTTGCTCAGTCTGGTCTCAAACTCCTGAGCTCAGGCAATCCACCCTCCTCAGCCTCCCAGATAATTTCTCAGCATTCATTAAAGTCCTTAAAATATCAAACAGGTGCAATGGGGTCCGAGACCCAAGCTTAGTAATTCCCATTCTACATAAACATGAATCATCACATTTTGTTTTACAGAAAAGTTTTATTTCAGCTGCCCCCACCACAACTAACAAGCCTATGCCTATTTTTTAAAATCCCTACTTCATCAATTATAGTGATCACATAACCACAGCAGTTTTCAATATTAATTCATTAAAAACAGTTAAATAGTATAGTTTCACCAATATAATTTTAAGAGCTAGAAAAAAACATACAGTAATTGAGTGCGTATTATTTGCAAGGCATTGATGAAATTCAAAATGTAATGAATGTATTATATATTAACAAGACTGACTACAGTAATGTGTGAGTGCATGTGCAAGAGAGAAAAACTGCAGGAAGGGAAACAAATTAGGACTATAACAACAGTATAATGGAGAAAGTTACTCCAGTCTTATTTAGGGAGTGGCATCCTGTCATTCAGCAGCCAAAAGATCAAGGTATGCCCCACCACTGAAAAACGGATGTTGTGACATGCTGTAGCTACTCATTTAAAGTGCTTGGTGTCCTAGGCACCTTGGCTCACGCCTATAATCCCAGCACTTTGGGAGACGGAGAGGGCCTGGACACCTTGAACAACATCGTAATATCTTAACTCTACAAAAAATAAAGTGCCGTCAATAAAGAAAATGATGGTATGTATTAACCTCAAGAAAACCCATCTACAACGTGGGTTTAGAAATTTCAAAATAACATTTTAAGATAAATGTCTGGCTACATTGGTTTGTGAGATTGGGAGAGGCCAAAGTCCCCTTTAGGCTCCGTTTGACCCATTAACACTGTTAAGTTTACAGTAAAACCATCTTGGTAAGAGATGGATGATAAGCTTTCACATGACAAGTAAACCTGAACTCTAAGACAAAAAAAAAAAAAAAAAAAACCTTCAGACAAAAGGACATATTTGCAGCAGCAAACACTAAAGGGTCAAAGGAGCATAACAGAATTTCCATAAAATTGATTTTTATTTGTAAGCCTGAGGTGATTGGTTGATAGGTCACAACTTTGGGTAGTAACATTTCTAGGTTATAGGTTTATCATGGGGACAGGCAATGAGCAGATAGCACAAAGGCGTTTACCAGCCTGGAATGGCCAAGGATATGTCTGTATTAGAGAGACAAAGAGGCCTTGGGCTATCTAAAAGGCTTCCTTCCTACACAAAGGGATGATAAATACAGGGAATAGGAGAAGGGCCCGAGTCATATGACACTCCACACACACCTCCCTCAAAGAAAAGGCCCTGCCACAACCTCCAAAGGCAAGTTTGACAAGACCAAGAACACTACCCCTGCTTAGCCCTTTCACTTCCAGTCCCCGCCCACTCCACCCTGGACAGACCCTCCACTTTGCTTTCCCCTTCCGCTCTCGGCTTACTTGTCCCGGATGATGGTCTGCAACTCCCGGATCTGATCATTCATGGGCAGCAGTTTAAGCTGCGCCCCAATCTGCCAGGAGAGTTCGCAGTCTCCCAGGAGGAAGTCATCAGCTGGTGCTTCATATTTGCTACCATCACCATTACCACTGTTGTTTTCAGAGTTGAGGCTGGCGCCTCCGCAGGCCTCAGGATCCCGCTCCGAGGCTGGCACGCTAGAAGGGGTGTGCCCTGTGTGGAGAGTCAGTTTGGCCATGGAGGCGCTGTTTACCCCGGCATGGTCTGGGATTGGGTCGCCAGGTCGCACCGACTCCGGGCTTGGGGTTGAGGCAGAGTTTACTTGCTGGTTGTGACAGAGCATGGAATCCAAACTCCGTAATTCCGTGGCCATACGCTAGGCCCCGGAAAGTCCTCGCTGCTACAAAACTCTTAAAGATAAAAGGGAGGGGAGGAAGAAGGGGCGGTCGCTCACGAGCTTTTCCGGTTGTTAGCGCCTCTTCTGAACCAATAACCTCCCCGCCCTCTCCTACTTGGGCTGCTGTTAATTGGTTGCTTTTCACATGCTGCTCACGCCCAACGTACCTATTCCTAGGTACCCTATTGGCTTCTTTCCCTGCCACTCTACGGAGAGCTGCTTGTTAACCCTTTGAGTCACCTTGGCTGTATGGATTTCCACAAGTAGCCAGGCGTATAAAAGGGGTGCCTGGTTAAATAGTCTTCTGGGAGGACACCTGGAGCTCGAGCATTCAAAACTGTGAGAGATTGGTAGAGACAGGAGAACCGGGACTGGCCATTGTTAACAAGTGATTAGATACGTTAGACCTGTGTTTTCAGACTTCGTAATTTTGCAGAGAAATTATACCTCATTAACTGCAAATTCAGTTAGCTAGTCTCTGAATCGGAGGAAGAAGTAAAAATACCTAGTAGGCTGCTAAAGAGCTTGTCCTCTAATATCCTCTACTAGACTGTTTGACAAACTACAGCTTCTCAAGTGTGCTTGACCGCTAAAGCTTTTCTTCATTGGTTGGTCCTTACAGCGAACAGCTTATCATGGGGATTCTGAAAGCATTTTCGATCCACTGTCACTTTATTTCTTTCAAATACTTAAAAAGACACTTTTATTTTTTAAGTATCTGGGCTCACTATTCTGGCCTGAGGTGAGAGTGTTTAGAGCAGTACTTTTCAAACTTGTGTGTATCAGAAAATTGTACAGCTTGTTAAAATGCAGTTCTCATGGTTCACTTTGAGATTCTGATTCAGTAGATTTGAGGTTGGACCCAAGAATTTTTGATTTTAACAAGTAACCCAGCAATTCTAATTCATAAATAGTGCTCTTTGAGAAAGAGTGAGTTACAAGCTCTCTTTTAAGAGAACTATAACCTGAACATCAGAGATCTGCTAATTCTCTTAATTGCTAATTATTGAGCAATATTCAACAAGTCCCTTCCCCTCTCTGGATTTGACTTTCTCCAAATATAAAGTAAGATGCCTTAACTATTTAACCCCTATACGTTCTTCTAATTTTGACATTCTGTAATTCTACTATTTTGCCCCCTGAGAAGCCAATTCTTAAAATTTCTTCTTCCATACAGGGACATAATTAACACATGCAGAGATTCAGAAAAATATGAGTAGCAAATAACAGGAATATCTAGGCCTATGGGAAGACTTGAATAAATCAGCCTTTCTCCTTCCCATGTTTTGTTTGTTTGTTGTTTTGGTATTAGTATTAGTAGTATTTTTCTACCTTTGTTTCTCTGCTTGTGCCTCAGTACATGGTCAGTACACTATTAGCCATAATTATAACGTACAGTTTAAATTCGATTGATGATAAGAATCGTAATCCCACTCACTTTTGAAAACCTATGCATCTTTCCACCTAGCACACAATGCAAATCAAAGAGTCTCGGGTGAGAAGCTGCATCTTTTAACTTGAAGTGGGCAGGAATAATTAAATGGCTACTTTGCTAATGAATACTCTTAGAGATAACACTGAAATACAGTATTGTATAATAAGCAGTAATTTAAATGCAGTAGTGAATTTAAAATGGTATCATAAGACATCCCAGGACCAAAACTGCACTGTACTTTCATTCAGTGTCTTATCAGACAAGTGGTCTTATTGTGAATGCCATGGAATATGAATTATAGCCAGTATGTCTTGTGTTTTCACTCTCATAGGAAACATCCATGTATACACTTACCTATATTAACCAATAAGCATTAGAATGTCTATCTAGCCAGCTTAATTACTTAAGGGTCTATTAAAGTAAAATTCATTAATGATTAATCATAGTAACATTTTAAGTTTGGTGTTTTATAATTTACACAATTTCATGTACATTATCTTATTTCTCAAAAAAAGCTTGAGGATTATCATTCTTCATTTATAGACAATATCTGTGTAATTCTTTTTCCTAAAGTGACTTGTCCAAGGTCACACATCCAAAACATAGCAGAGCCAAGACAAGAACCCTAGTTTTGTTTTGTTTTGTTGAGATAAGTTCTCCCTAGGTTGCTTGAGTTAGAGGCCTAGCTTAGGAACCTTCCTCTTCCAACTCTAAATCCAGTCCTCCTTAAAAATGCTTACAGATTCATGAAATAACTTAGTTAATAAATGTCAAGCCCCTACTATTTGCCAGGTGTATTTCTAGGTGCTAGAATAGCCGCAAAGAAAAATAAATGAAGATCTTGAAATTATCCATAGTTATAGCAGTCATTGAGGTCATGGATAGCATGGTTCTTTAAAAACCACAGGTTAATGTTAGGCATCATGGAAACTTTCAACATAGATTTTTACAGTTAGCAGAACTGACAAATTTGAGTTTAGCCCTCTCTCTTCCCACATTTTGATAAAGAGTTGGAAAAATTCTCCTGCAATAATTAAGATGACTGTAAACTTCAGTTTAGGTTTTGAGCTCTAAATTTGACATGATCCCTAAAAATTATGGGAAACAGAAAACCAATTACATATACTAATAGGAATCCCTCACATAGTGCCTTTATGAAACACTTTTGTATGGGTTAAACCTGGTATTATTATTACTGTTTTACAATGAGAAAAGACTTAGGAGCCTAAATCACATCCTAAGTAGTAGAGTTGGAACAAGATGAAAGAGAATTAATATTAAACCTTATTTTCCATGTGATGTGCTTTATCTCATTTAAACCTTCTAACAACCCTAGAAGGTAGGCCCTATACTTATCCCCATTTTACAGATAGGAAAACTGAGACCTGGTGAGATTAAGTAACTTGATGTCACATAGGCAGTAAGTATAGGAGCAGACATTGAATTCGTTTTTTACTTTAATGATGCTTAAGCCACTGAAGTGTAATTTTAAATTTCTTATAAAAACTATATTAATTGAAAGGAAGCCGGGAATAGTGGTACACGTCTATAATCCCACCTATTCAGAAGGATCACTTGCACTCACGATTTTAAGTCCAGCCTGGGTAACATACTGTTAGACCCTCATCTGTTAAAAAAATAAAAAGATATCAAATGCTCTGAACAAATACTGTGATTCATTTTTCTTTCTAAATGAATATCTGTATCACCTTTCAGATGTATACCTTACCTTCGTTCTTATCTTGGATCTCAAAATACCTACTTGGGTATCTTTATAAATGTATATATTTTTTACTATTTACTCTCCCTGCTTTCAAAGTTTTTTCTTTAATCCTTGATCCTACTACTCTGTTTGTTTGCTTGTTTATTTCCAGCTTTATTGAGATATAATTGGACAATAAAAATTTTATATATTTAAGGTATATAATGTGATGGCTTGATATACATATACTTGATCTGCATATACATTGTGACATGATTACCACAATAAAGCTTTAACACATTCATCACCTCACAGAGTTACTATCTTTGTGTGTATGTGAGGTAAGAACTCTTAAGATCTACTCTCTTAGCAAATTTCAAGTGTACAATGCAGTATTATTAAATGTAGCCACCATACTGTAATAAGGTACCCAGAACTTATTCATTTTATGACTAAAACTTGTACCCTGATCAACATCTTCCCATTCCACCCCCTGTATTAGCCTCTGGCAATCAATATTCTACTGTCTGCTTCTATAAGTTTAACTTTTTTGGTTTTCACATATAAGTGAAATTGAATGCTATTTGTGTGTGTGTGTGTGTGTGTGTGTGGCTTATTTAATTTAGCATAATGTTCTCCAGATTAATCCATGTCATCACAAATTGCAAGATTTCAAAAAAAATTAATCACTTTCAAATACATATTGCCATCCTTATAAAATTAGTTTACTTATGAATACAAAGTAGCTTTCTCTATAAATCCTAAACAATTCCTGTAAGGTGTGTGGGGAAGGACAGGCAGATTCTGTATAAAAGAATATCCCTTGCATAAAAAGCATAAAGGTGAACCTGTAAAACTGATATATTAAGAACTGAGGTGTTATGGTTTCCACCTTATGGCTGTTAGTTAGTTCCCCTCACTTCTTCCTTCCTACAAATCTTAATTATCAATAAAAGCCATATTATAAAACTGAAGAGAAACAGCACAATTTTTCTGAACCCTGCAACAGAGTTAATGGTTCAAAAAGTAAAGCAAAGAATTAGTGAAGGAAATCATTTAAAGATGGTGGTATGGGAAAGTAGAGGGGGGCTAATATAAAGTAGAGAAAGGGTGATGGGTACTGTGGTGTGTGCCACCCTCATCTGCCAGTAGGGACTCAGCACTCATGCCTGTGGCTATCTGGAATGTTAACTGTCACATTTCACAACTAATTTGCTCCCCAGGGCTTGTCCAAGGCTGCCCAATATGCTCTACTTAATGTTATATATCCTTCTCTTACCCAAGAGCAGACTGCATCGTTGACAGGTTCATGTGAGGATACAAAGATCCAGCTCTCTTGATTTAATTTGCAACATCTCTAAATACCCATCCAAACTTCAGAACTCCTCATGAAGTTGATTGAGTTGGTTGCAACTTTTCCTACTCAGTCCTGCTGCTTTTCCTCACTCTGAGGTGTTAGTCTCAGCAGCATTAACCAATAAACTTCCTGCACACAAATCTCTACCACAGAATCTGTTTCCAGAGATTCCCAAACCATAAGAGAAAGAAACATAACTCCGAATAACCCCACTATCATAGTGCCTGTACAAACTTGATGCTTCTGATAAAAGGAAAAATCAAAGGGAAAGAGGCAATACTGCAGTTGATTAAATTCCCTACTTGGAAAATCACAGTATCAGACCTACTTCTCAGTGAATTGGATTCACAAATTAATTAAAAGTGTTCTGGTTTTAATTTTTTTTAAATGAAGCTAGAAAACTATGAACTAACATAAATGCTTGCTAAAGTCTTAACGTATACCCTTATTTATTGCTGAGATGGAATTCCCTTACATCACATGTAATATTGTGTTTGGCTTCACTTACAAAATTTATACTAATTTTAGTGGTTCTTTTCCTTTGGGGCAACCCACAAAACTTCAACATCTGTTACTTAAAAGAGCATTAGACGGGGGGAGGGGAGCAAGATGGCAGCTGAATAACAGCTTCCCTGCAACTGGGCACAGT